CACACAGTGTAATAATTCCTACCCAATTCCCCCGACTTCATACTCTCGTGTTGACGAGAACGTATCTGAGCGCGTTACATGTTCTCATTTACGCCTTTCCAAATCTCAAGAACTTCGTTTGTCCATTCGATGCTCATGCGCAGATGCTTAAAGAGAGCATTCGTAACCCTCACGCCGTTTATATGAAACAACTGCATGATTCTGGGAGAATGTGGATCTTGGATTCACTACATATTTCCTCTCATGCTCTTTATTGCTTTTCTGTGGAGTGTCCGGTCAAATATCTGGACCTTCAATCTCATGCTGGATACATGAATCCATTCGATCAATCTCAGTTCGGGGTATGGGTTACTCGTACTATCGTGGATCGCATTCAACCACCAAAGTTAAGACTCACCCTTTCGAAGGCCATGCTTAATACGATTTTGCAGCATAGAGCCCCTGGGTTTTATGAAGTTTTGTCCTATCCCACTTTGACCCACTTTTCACTCGACGTCCCTGTACAACTCAAGTTTGTGGATATCATGCTGTCTTTCATTGTACGTCAAATTTCGTTCCTTTGACGTTCTTCCCTCCTTTATATCACGCTAAATTGACCATCATGTTGACAGCATGAATTCGTCAAAGCCTTGCAAAGCAACAATACGATAAAAACCATATGTCTGACACTGCACTGGGAACTCTCTGATAAGAGATATCTGCACAAAGGAGATCAAGCTCGATTCGATCCTACTTATGATGCCGAAATGGATAGATCTGGTTTTGCAACAAAATTCGCTGCGGCCGTAGGGCCCTCTGTCCAACACGTTATTTTTACGTCGGTGGCATCTCAGAAGTCCCCAAGAAAGAAGACGACTAGGGTGGATGGTTGGAGGGTTGTCAGAGGCGTGGATGACTCGGTAGGCTTGGAGGTATTGACGCAGAGTGATTGTGGTAGGATTATCAGCGGCCAGGAGATTTAGAAGCCTTTGTTTATAACGCGTACTCTCATGTTTTCAAATTGAATAATGGGACTTTGAAGTGGCCACTGACTAGAATATGTAAGTAGACGTTGCAAGAACGTCTGATCTTCATCCTCCAAGTCGTTTGACTTCCTCTTCATAGACATCTGTTTCTTCAACCTGAACGTTTTCGAACCTTGCCTCCCTTCAACCGCCAGTTGAACATCAATTTGCTCTCTATTTTAACAAATAACATGGCCGAACTCCCGGATGCACGATCTCTTGAGCCACAAAGGTATGTGGCCCGTCCCGTTCGCAAATTTGCTGACCCATTCATTTACGATCTACTCTCAACAGTACCAGTCTTGCAGACCGCCCAGTCATTCTGCAAAAGCAAATGTCTATCGATTATGACACTCTGCTTCTGATTATCGACTTCGTTAAGTCTCCAACTGATTTACTCAATCTGCTTACAACTTGCAAGGCTGTATACCATCTCGGTCTTGCACAATTTCTCGGACGGCCGTTGCGTTTTGTCGATAGCAAGGACTCTCTCAGACTCAAGTGCTTCAAATCCTTCATGACCGAGCATCCGCAATACTTTCAATATATCAAAGAACTATCGCTCGGCGTTGCGAAGGAGGACATGTCGACTCTTTGGGAATTAACCGTCGACATTCTGCACAAAGGGACAAATATCAAACGCTTGAATTTATCGATGGTTTCTCCTGTGAAATCTTCGAGCGATTTCATTTTCCATCCTCATGGACCACTTCTCGATTCACCAATCTATGGATGTCAGAATCTGCAGCACCTATCTCTCCACCATCTGGGTGTTCACTACGTGACAACGATACTTCATAGCGTGGAGGCTCCATTGAAATCTGTATCCATAACATCTATCCCAGCTTCCACGAGAATTGGAATCAAGCTAGCAGAACCTGTTATCTATCCTCTCCAGAAATTCGCTCTCACTCTAGAAGAGATTGAATTAGAGAATGAAGTGTGGCCCAAATCGCGGGTTCCTCTTCCTACTACATTCCTTCGACTCCACACTCTGATCCTTCGAAACACTTCACTCAACGGGCTAGAGAATATAATTAACGCATTCCCAAACCTGAAGCATTTCGTATATCCAGGTCCATGCCAATCACCTGCATCTCGGCGTCGTTCAGCCAACTTGCCAATCATGAAGCAACTAAGACGATCCGGAAAAATGTGGAAATCACCGTTGATAACACTGGAAATATCCTCTCATGCACTTTATGGATTCGGTCTAAAGTGTCAAGTGAACTCTTTGGTACTTGGCACTCAGGCTGGATATCAATCCCTTCATGAAGTCACTGCGATGGATAACTTGCATCGGATCATCAATGATATTCAACCACCACAGTTGACCCTTTCGCTGTCAGCTAGCCTATCCAAATCGATTATTCTCCATGAAACAGCATCGGCGGAATTTTACAACCTCTTTTCATATCCTGCTTTAACCAATCTTCATATGTGCCCCGTTTTACCATTCACGGAGTCTTTGGCGACCGATGTGGAGTCCTTCATTGTACGTTCCTCCATGATTCAGGCCACTAGTATCTACTACTGAATTCTAAACCCGCTTCCTATTTTCATAGGTTGAATTTGCGAAGGCATTAGAAAATAACAAATACAACAAAATTTGTTGGTTGTTGTTAGCATTCAGTTGGAAAGTTGAAAACAACGACACTTACGATGTCACCCAAATCGACCATTCCGGCATAGCAATGAGATTAGCTACGGCTGCAGGAGTATCTAGAGCTGGAGTCATCTCTCTGTATTTCATGGAGAACTCAGGTCAGGACAGTGGCAAATCTTGGATGAAAGTGTGGAAGGTTGAAGCCGGTGATGAATGGACTTCAAAGCCCTAATATGGACGCGACGATTGGTCAAGAGTGCGTGTGGACCAGAGCTAGAGAAATTGTCCTCAGCTATAATTACTGCAGGTGCTATACACACAGTTTTTTTTTTTTCAATTTCTGGCATGTACGTACTAGATACGTGCAAGAAATACGATGTTTGAAGCTTTGAACTTGAACGGTCCTGCGCAGCTGGCACATGTCGTGTGTCCTGGCCAAGGATTTTGAGCCTTGAACTTGTTGTGTATCCTTACAGTCTCAGGCTGACTCTGGGACAAGGTGGCCAAAATTGTCTCGATACCTGTTGCACTGACTCGGACAAATTGCATCCTGCCAGGAGGAACGTCCACTGTGTTTTCCAACTTGGACGTCTTGCTGCTTATCATGGACTTCGTCAACTCTCTGGAGCTCAAGTCAATGGAAAATAATGCGAGGGATTCGCCAGAGACTGCTCTTCGGTGTACTCGAGTACACAAAATGCTGGGTTACATTCAAAGCACACACAGAGATTAACAGACATCAAAAAATTGACTGGTATTCTGGTATGATATATGATATGTGACAGATGATATGTATCTCCGCAATCCTTGACCCATTCTCATATTGAAAGAGGTTAATCATGACCCACCCCTTCAGAAGCCACCACTCAGATTGACAAACCCTCCGAATGCAAAGTTAATAGTAAATCTTCATGGTTAAGCAGTAACGGCAGGCATTTCGTGTCGAGTGCTATCATCTTGAGGTGATTGTGTCTCTTGCTGAGCATCAGTGTCAACACTGGGTTTATCCACCGTAGGAGGAGGGATATTGTTGTCGGATGACGAAGAAGCATGAGAGACGAATGGTGCACTGGCAGTAGGAGTAGTCTGCCCAGATGATTGACCTGGAGCCGATGTGACAGCGGGAGACCCAAACTTGAATACAGATCCTGGACGTGCAGTGATTCCCAACAATGACTCTGGCGGGGATAGTTTAGAAGTCTGGGAATACCGATGATGATGTAGTTGGAACAACAGTCTTTGTAGGTTTAGAAAAATCAAAATCGAATAAACCTGGATTCGTCGTCGATTGGGCACCTCTACTTCGAATTCCAGGTGAAATTGTTCCAGTAGCAGTAGTAGTTGGAATTCTAACTTCAGCTTTAGGATTTAGAAGGATCATCTTGATTTTTTCGATATCGGAATCAAGTCTTGCAGCTTGAACACGACGTAACTCTTCAGTTGTACGTTTCTCCTTTTCTTCCAATTTCTTATAAGCATCTTGTGTCTTATTACGTTCTATATCCCAAGAACCTCTCTCCGTAGCGAGCTTGTCATTGAGTCGTAATATTTCGGATTCCTGAGAAGACGTGGTCTTTTGTAAAGCGGCCAACTGCTTTTCCAATTCCTCTACTCGAGCTTCCAACGGATTCTCAACCTCTGGGAGGAAAACTGCTCGAAGATGAGGTGCTAAGAAGGTGAGGTACTTCTCAGGTGTCCTGTCCAGAATAGCTACAAAACAAAAAAGAAAGAATATCATTGAGGTAGGGTATTGATGCATGAACATAACTCAGTATCATGGCATACCTTCGGAGAAAGGAACTTTGCATATCGGACATGGGATATTCAGAGGTTCTGGCTTTGTTTCAATGTAGCTCGTAAGACACTTCTGACACATGATATGACCTAGTTTTCGTTAAAATCGATTGGATTCAGTATAGGAAGAACAATAGAGAGTGTTCAGAACGCTTACCACATGGAGGGCAAATCGGCGAGGTCAATTCATCTATTCAAAGCGGACAAGTATGAGTCGGAGAGGCAGGCATCTGGAGTATCTGAAGTAGAGAGTCACGGTATAGGCTTAACGAAAGAGGGCCGCTGTCCGTGAGACAATTTTATAGTCATCGGCAACCAAAGTGACACAATGAACAATTGCGAGTGGCCTTGTCACAGCAACGTGGAATAAAAAGTTTTATGCGGCCACATTTCGAGCCTGAGATTGACTTTTGCAGATGGTCAATGATTTCTTTCACCATAGAAAGAGGCTATTTGTGTTGTATGTGGCTTTCTTTGGTAAAACCGCAATGAAAACAGAAATTTTTGACGAGATCGATACAATGATTCACCAGCAAAACCAGACGAAGAAGAAAGAAGAGCAGTGACAAGCGTGATTCAAAAAAGAATTAAAAAGACTCCCTGGCGGGGAGTCGAACCCCGCTTTCGCGCGCACGAGCATCTAGATGACAGGCGCGTGTACTAGCCGATATACTACCAGGGACTTGTTCTAGGCTCTAGAGAAGATTCTATTTGCTCAGTCCTTCCAACTTATTCGTGCTCACCGAAGTCAAGATCACAACGTACGTATACCGATAGTAGTCCACGACATGCATGTCCAGATGCGTCAAAAATCGGTACTGTACATGAAAATAGCTAACAGCATACTACTAAATACAAATTGTCCAATCTCGAAAGGAATAAAATAATACTCTCGTACAACGTTGTGAAAGGACGATTAATGCTTGAAGTCGCAGAGAGTCAGAGAGGCTGGAGGACGGTATGGTGCGTACGATCGATTTCATTAAACCAACCTATCTCTACTCTCACCAGGCAAACTCTTTCCTCCCTGTCCTTCAAAATCTGCAAAAGGATCATCATCATCTCCATGAGCATTCTTAACATCTCTCTTCCCATCTGTTCCCATATCAAATCCACCAATCTCATATCCGGGAGGTTTCGAATCATTACCACCCATTCCCATCCCGACTCCGTAACCAGCATCAGGAGGAGGACCTGGAGGAGGAGCGTAAGGCCCTGATCCTGATTCATATGCCAAATAAGGAGGGTTATAATGAGATGGGTAACCGTTGTTGTAAGCTGCGTCAGCGAATGTTTGATTGATTGGGGCTGGGGTTTTGACACGGCCGAGAAGGGGATCAAGGAGTTGACGGTAATAAGAGAAAGCAATTGCTATTATGAACCCTCCGAGGACTATAAGAAATAACATCGTAAGTTCGTGGTAAATTCATTGAGCAATTGAAAACATACTGATTTCAAATATAAGAGAGATAATTTCGTTTGCGGAATCATGACTCCAACCATTATTGCAGACTGTGAAACAATGCAACGTTAGAAAGCTATCACGAACTGTCAGATTGAATCAACATACAGCTCTCAGCTTCAGTTGCATTCAAAGTATCATGAACTGTGGGGCCCCAGATTCCAAATCTCTATATATCATTGACACAGATGAACGATGAGATCAGCCTTCGATGGTAGCTCTCCAACTCACGAAGGTAATTCCAGTGTCCGTAACAACATTCTCACATTCTTTGATGAGGTCACTCTGGATATCGGTAGTGTTATTGTTAATGTTGCCGCCCAAACGGATACCGAAGACCGAGGCGACGTACCTTGAGTGTGAAGTGGGTAACAACCCTCATGAAACCTGCTGCTACCACTGTAACAGCACCAAATACCGCTAACCAAGTATATACTTGTGCCATCCTCAGCCGTTGCTACAATTCATCAGGTGAAATGTGAACATGCGGAAAGACAGATGTGTCAAGTAGCAAGATGAAACTTACACTGGCTGCTGCGGCAATGCCAAATATCTGAATGACGCATACGACAAGGTACATAATTCCCAACACAATGGAGAACTTTGCGAGCTTCGGTGTACCATCTGCAATTTTGTGTGGCGTATTCAATATTATGGATAAGCTGGTAGTTATGGATGAGCTTACGATCTTTGTCAATATTGATATCCTGGAATAAGTCGATCTATACCACACAACTTGCTTAATTGGTATCATTTTACACGAGAATGTGTGACACATACCGCCCTGAGACGTGAGTTTGTCAGTCCATGAACCCGATAACTGTATGCTAATGTCGAAACTTACCATATGAGAGTCCAGATCGCAGTGATTATGCCGACTGAAGCAACGGTCAACTTGGTACTCAGATCGACTTATAGAAGGAAGAACTTACAGGTTACGACGACGGGTCTCAAACTGGCTCTATAAACTCTTGCGACCACACCGTAAGCCGGCGGTTGGTCTCAAGAACAGAATCAGACCTTTAAGTTAGCGAAGGAGGCCACGAGGCTCTTGAACTGTTTGTGCATACCTAGAGGTCGTGGTGGAGGTCTTGTTGCAGACATTATGTTACCAGAACGGAGATACGGAGGTGGGGGTATTAAGAGAGAACGAGACGAAAGAAACTAGTCGCTTTGTATGGAAGTACAGGAACAAGAAAGATGTGACCTGCACTGAGTAAGGGAAAGGGACAATTGGCAGGGGCTGTGGGTGAATGAGATGAAAGCTGTCGCAGTCAGCTGCGCAGGTGCATGAAGGCCATTTGAGGTGAGCAAAGAAGACGGGAACAATGCACTGCTTTATGGGCGTCTCGGGGTCCCATATTCATACACGCCTATTTTTAGCTCACAAAAAGATAAAGAATTTCGATCTATTGTTTCTAGGGTCTGCAAAACAAAAGTTGAAAGTTGTCAGAAAAATTCGGGGAGATTCAGATGAAAAATTGGTCGAGGAAGATGGAAATGAGAAGTGAAATGGCTTGTAGACATGGAACGCTTGCCATTCTGTGGCGGTTGCTGACACTAATGTTGATGAAAAGCTGTGATATACGGTTCATAGAGTAAGGATGTTCTCAATCATTGACAGAGTTGGATGATAGCCTATAATTAAGACTAGGCCATAGCCATAGGCGTGTGTCGACAAAAGAGCTACGTCAGGCTGAGTAGAAACTGAACAGCGACTCGAACTTGTGTAAATTTCCGAATGCGGTCGGCTTTATTCCCACGGGTAACAGTCGCCCTGCTTCGGAAAGTTCCAGGTACTGGCAAGTTTATACAAGCCACACAATAGGCGCCTTTCTCTGTATCTAGTTACACAACGTCGGCGTCGGCCTCAGCAAGCTCAAGATCAAGGTATGTCGTTATTATGCCCGTACAGTTCATCGACGAGCAGCTGATAATTATCCGTGTCACAGGTAATCCTCTCGCCCTCAATGTGAGTGTTGATTTCGCAAAAATTTGGAAATATTCGCTTTGTGGATGTCCGTCTGAAGAAGACTCAGTTGTATATCATATTTGGCTTAAGAGGGTTGGGGAGACACTTAGATATGGATATTCCAGTCGAGGAGTTGTGAAGAGACTTTCAGATTTCGCTTTGGCAAGTGTGTTCGGAACTTGGTGTACTGACTCTATTTCTTTCTGTAGTCTCACAAATGGCCCAACGTGTCACTCTCCGCAAGCGCACTCCTTACAACACTACTTCTAACCGCCGACGAGTAGTCAAGACTCCTGGTGGCAAGCTTGTCTACCACCACCTCAAAAAGCTCCCCACTGCCCCCAAGTGTGGTGACTGTGGTATTGCCCTTCCTGGTGTATGTATATTCGGAATAAGGGCTTGACGTTGATTTACTGATAGTACTGGTGATGGCATAGGTTCCCGCTCTCCGTCCCCGTCAATATGCTACCATCTCCAAGACAAAGAAGACTGTTCGCCGGGCATACGGTGGTTCAAGATGCGCGGACTGTGTGAAGCAACGGTACGCAACTTCAAAAAATTGTTCCTATGCTTAGCTTCATCTGAGATGGAATGCTCTTTCTAGCATTCTCCGTGCGTTCTTGGTTGAGGAGGCTAAGATCGTCAAGAGGGTGATCAAGTCTCAACAGAAGGGCGGCAGGAAGTAAATTTTGATTATACCTCCTCCTTGACTTGTGGACATTGGGGCATTGAGAGGAAGAACTCAGAGGGGAAAACGATTACTTTGCCTTCACTACCTCTTTTTCACCCCCTTTGCATTCATTTCCTCCTATGGTGGCCTTCACAATCCCCTACACGTTTATTCGCATGCACCCATGTATTGCTATTTTCTTCCCCGTTTTACGATCAAGCAAAAGTATGGCCGATGAGGTCGGTATGCGCTATGGACTTCCCTTCGAGTGACTTGGTGTGAGCGTGAAAGAATGTTCAAATGTTACTTACTGAGATTACGCCGGGCCGAAGCCGCTGAAATTATTGAGCAATCCGCTCACTCACGGGGTTCGTAGCAACCCCCATCCATAACCACCACCACCACCACCATACCCCACCTAACCTTCTCCAGGACCTCCTCAACTTAAATCGCACAATGGCTACCCGACTTTCTACCCAAACCGATTATGAGAACTTGCTGGACAAGTATGATACCTGGTTATTCGATTGCGATGGTGTCCTTTGGGAAGGAGATCGTCTAGTTGAAGGTGCAATTGAAGTTCTTCAAATTTTAAGACATCATAGTACGTCTTACGATTCATCATATTACTGAAGTATAGTCCGAGATATTAATAATATGGACCGGAAGAGAAGTCTGTTATGTTCGTAACGAACAACGCTACAAAGTCGAGGAAGAGTTATAAGACCAAATTTGACAAGCTCGGTGTCGAAGCTCATGTGGTACGCCATTCGATTTATCATGTACTACGTCTAGTATATGAGCTAATTGTTGTTGTGCATTTAGGATGAGATTTACGGTTCTGCATTCGCAGCTGCTGTTTACATATCTTCTGTTATGAAGATGCCAAAGGATAAGAAGGTTTATGTGATTGGTATGTCTGGTATAGAAGAAGAACTTCAAGAGGAAGGAATTTCTTTCATCGGGGGAACCGTACGTCTCCACCTTACTTCTCGTTTTAATATTATCAATCCCCTCACATTTCTATTAGGATCCCATAGACAACACATTACAACCATTCTCCCTTGCCGGATGGACACCAGATCCATCAGTAGGAGCAGTCCTAGTCGGACTCGACACTTCGATCAACTACACGAAGCTTTCTAAAGCGTTCAATTATCTCTTACGAGATTCAGAAGTAGCTTTCCTCGCTACCAATGAGGATAGTACGTATCCTACAGCTGAAGGATTGTTACCCGGTGCGGGCAGTGTTGGTGCACCTTTAAGATATTCTCTTGGACGTGATCCTATTAGTATTGGAAAACCTGCTGGGACTATGTTGGATTGTATCAAAGCGAAGTAAGTTTACTTTGACCCATTCTGTATGCCAAGAAGTACACAACGACCAACGAATTTTGCTAAATGTTATCTGCTAGGCATGATTTCGATCCTAAACGAACAATCATGGTAGGTGATAGGCTCAATACTGATATACAGTTCGGAAAAAACGGAGGATTATCGACGTTACTTGTCTTAACTGGTACGTCTATGCTCTCGCCTTCCCATCTGCCTCGTACTTCACCCATTCCTAGTTTATTA